AATGGTAAGGTGGTGTTGCTAGATAATCAGATCTTGGAATGCAGGTTCACAGTTCTTTGAAAGTGGAGTCACAGGTAGACAGGATAGTGAAGAAGGCGTTTGGTACGTTTGCCTTTATTGATCTGTGCATTGAGTAAAGGAGTTGGGAGGTCATGTTGTGGCTGTACAGGACATTGGTTAGGCCACTTTTGGAATACTGCATGCAATTCTGGTCTCCCCGCTATAGGAAGGATGTTGTGAAACTTGAAAGGGTTCAGAAACTATTTACGAGGATGTTGCTTGTAAGATGAGCTATAGGGAAAGGCTGAATAGGCTGGGGCTATTTTCCCTGTAGCGTCGGACGTTGAGGGGTGACCTTTATAAAATCATGAGGGGCGTGGATAGGATGAGGTCTTTTCCCCAGTGTAGGTTTAAGGTGAGAGGGGAAAAATTTAAAAGGGGCCTAAGGGGCAACTTTTTCATGCAGTGGGTGGTGCATGGAATGACCTGCCAAAGGAAGTGGTGGAGGCTGGTACAATTACAACATTTAAAAGGCATCTGGATGGGTATATGAATAGGAACGGTTTAGAGGGATATGGGCCAGATGCTGGCAAATGGGATTAGATTTATATAGGATATCTAGTTGGCATGGATGAATTGCACCAAAAGGTCTGTTTCCGTAGTGTACATCTCTATGACTGTATGAGTTAGGTCACAAGTCAGCCATAGCCTTGAAGGGACAATTGGCCTTCCATCCCTGTGAAGAAACTGGGATCACCCTCCTCAGAGCTGAAGTGGGAGAGAGATTTGTTTGGTGTGCTGCAAATTGGGTTTGGAATAAGTGAGGCAGGGGGTAAAATTTCTTCCACAGACAGCATCAGAAGCAGAGAGGAACATGTGTTTGTTTTTTTTTAAATGCAGAGTTGCTATGACTTATAAGGCATAGCATGAAAGGCATAGATCAGCTTGTGTCTGCTCCGAATTCCTCACTCTCTAGACGCTGGGTCAATTGCAAATATCAAAATGGAATCAAGGTCAGGAAATGGAGATTAGCTATGACCCAAACTGGCCAAAGCACCAGCTGGAACCATCAGCTTTATATTTAAAATACTAAATATTCTTGTTTGTAGGAAGGATATGCTTCAGCTGTACAGTTTACTGGTGAAACCATATGTGGAGTACTGTGTGCAACACTGGTCCCCTTATTTAAGGAAAGATGTAAATATGTTGGATGCAGTTCAGAAAAGATATAGAGTCATAGAATCAAACATAACAGAAACAGACCCTTCAGTCCAACTCGTCTGTGCCAACCAGACATCCCCATCTGACCTAGTCCCATTTGCCAGCATTTGGCCCATATCCCTGTAAACCCTTCCCATTCATACACCCATTCGATGCCTTTTAAATGCTGTAATTGTACCAGCGCCACCATGTCCTCTGGTAGTGCATTCTGTACATACACCATCCTCTGCATGAAAAAGTTATGCCTTAGGTCCCTTTTAAATCTTTCCCCTGTCACCTTAAGACTTTGCTCTCTAGTTTTGGACTTTCTCACGCTATACATTGGGTGAAAAAACATTGGCTGTTCACCCTATACATTAGCCCTCATGATTTTATAAACCTCTGTAAGGTCACTTCTCACCTGTGACTTTCTAGGGAGAAAAGCCCCAGCCCATTCAGCCTCTTCCTATTACTCATACTCTCCAGCCCCAGCGACATCCTTGTAAATCTTTTCTGCACCCTCTCAAGTTTAACAACATTCTTCCTACAGAACGGCAACCAGAATTGTATGCAGCACTCTAAAGTGGCCTCATCAATATCCTGTACAGCCACAACATGACATCCCAACTCCTATACTCAAATGGACAGCTTTTCTTATGCAGGAAAGGTTGGACAAGATAGGCTTGTATCTGCTGGAGTTTAGATGAGTAAGAGGTGACTAGATTAATGCGCATAAGATCCTGAGGGGACTTGACTATTTACCTCTTGTGGGATAATCTTCAACTAGAGGGTTGCTGTTTAAAAACCGTGGTGTCCATTTAAAACAGAGATAAGGAGAAAACTTTTCCTCACAGAAGTTTAAATGTTCTTCCTCAAAAGCAATGGAAGCTGAACGATCCACTCCAGCTAATACACCTTACAGTTCCTTCGGTGCAGCTGGGTCAAAATCAGCAACTCCATGGGGAGGTGATGGCCTGGCAGTATTATCTCTAGAATATTAATCCAGAGACCTAGACAAAATTCTGGGCAACTGGGTTTGAATCACACCACAGTAAATGGTGGAAATTGAATTCAGTAAATATCTGGAATTAAGAAGGCCTAAATAAAAATCGAAAATACAACTGCAGATGCTTTAAATTGGAAACCAAAGTAGAGATTGCTGGAAACGCACAGTAGGTCTGCAACATCTGTGGAGACAAATCAGAGTTAATGTTTCGAGTTTTGAAAAGGGTCACTTCTTCAAAATGTTAACTCCGATTTCTCTCCACAGATGCTGTCAGACCTGTTGAGCTTTTCCAACAATCTCTGCTTATGAAACCCATCTGATTCACTCGGGAAAGGAAAAATGGCCAAACTTAGCTGGTCTGGCCAACATGTGACTTCAGACCCACCTCAAAATGGTTCACACGCGGACCATTAGGGTCAGTCCATTTATTCATTCAAAGGATGTGGGCATCCACCACCTTCTGCAGGGGCAAGTAAGGGATATGGGAGATAAATGTTGGGCCTACTCTGAGTGACCTGCGTAAATGAAAGACAGGCGCCTTCCAAAGGAGCAATGGCGGCGGGGCTCACCGCTGCAGTGACGTCATCCTGAAAGCCCCCTATCCGCCCAAATGGTGAGTTGGGGGAGGGGAAGCCGTGCGACCTCTCTCTCACCTCCAAACTCAACAAACCGATTCCTAGCGGCTCCTCGGCCGCCACCGTCAGCTACGACGCGGGAATAAGCGTCGTTCACGGTGAGGAATCGAACCGCGGCCTGAATCACTGCCCTCTACACCTCTCCCACCCAAAATGATGCCGCTTGGATTACACGATCATCCCCGACACAGGCAAATACGGAGCCCGCTAGAAAAACGACTCAAAATGGCCACCTTCACCAACACCCCATACATGGCAAAGGTATAGAGCCCGCCTCATCATTTGAGGGACAACCTGTCGCACCAATCGGTCCGCGCCCCGGCCGCGAGCGCTGACCATTCAGACGTGCTGCGCGAATATCTAGGGCTGTGGTTGGGTAAAGTGGCCGTCAGTCAGGAGGAAAAGGCGGTCCGTAGTCACAGCGCGTCGAGAGGGGCGTTCGGAAGGTAGCATCGTTCCTATGATTGGTGGACAGATGGACAGTCGGTTAGAGTAGGGGGTGGGCAGACAATGACCCCTAGGCGGCGAGGATCCGGCACTCTGATTGGATAGCCGCCCTGTCGGTCAAGAATAGGTTCGGGTGCTTGTCATTCAAGGGTGGGTGCAGGCGGGCAGATTAGCGACTATACATTGGGTAAAGAGGGCTGTCAATCACAACAGACAGGAGGCTTTCGCTGCGAGGAAGCAGTGAATGGGTCGGAAGTCTGTCAGAGGTAGGCGGGCTCAACGGCTGGAGTGGGTGGGTCGACGCTGCCAGAATAGTCGCCACCCATCCCGGATGTAGGAGAACGATGACGGCAGCGATTGGACAGCAGGGGGTCTACCCCCTCGAAACGACGTCCAGCCGCTTGTGGTGGGTGGGGAGGAGAAGGCCTAGTCTGATTGGACGCCTCTCCCGGATGTCGGTGTAAGATGACGGCTGCGATTGGATAGCCGCGGCCGTCACTCAAAACGAGCGCGCGCGCCGCTGGCGGGGAGGGACAAGGCGCTCGGAAGAACGGTTGGAGTGGGCGCCATTTTGTTCGGGACAGCGCCATTCGATCGGGAAAAGGTTTTATTTCTGTGCGATTGTGTTAAGGGGTGGGGGAAGAAATCGATTTGAACCGAAAGCGGGTTTAAAAATAAAAGTGGAGCGGGGAGGAGGGGGGGGGAAACTGGGGGAGATAAACAAAATGAAGATCTTTGTGGGGAATATCCCGAGCGAAGGGACGGTGGACGAGCTGAAGACGCTGTTCGGCTACTACGGCACGGTGCGGGAGTGCGACATCATCCGGCATTACGGCTTCGTGCACATGGACAGCGCCGAGGAGGCGAACCAGGCCATCGCCGCCCTCAACCAGTACGAGCTGCACGGCCAGAAGCTCAACGTGGCCGAGTCCCGGCCCCGGCCTGCCGCCGTCACCAAGGTCTACGTTGGTAACCTGGCGGCCGGCTGCAGCAACCAGGAGCTGAGGGCCAAGTTCGAGGAGTACGGCCGGGTGGTGGAGTGCGACATCGTCAAAGGTAACCGCCGGCTTCCGGAGTGGGGTTTGGAGGGGGAGGTTAGAGGGTTCCCCGCCTCGGCCGCCATGACACTCAGGCCGTTCAGCCCATCAACAGAGCTCACCCTTGGGAGCACATTACTGCAGAGGCTGGATCCTGTACTGAAAACAAATTATGCTGGAAGGTCGCAGCGTTCATGGAGTGGAAGCAAGCACAGTAGCAGCAGCGAGTACATATGCAAGATGCACTGCAAGAATTTCACCAAAGATCCTCAGGCGGCACCTTCCAAACCCGCCACTGCTTCCATCTAGAAGGACAAGGGGCAGCAGATACATGAGGACGCCACCCCCTGCAAGTTCCCCCTCCGAGCCATTCACCATCCTGACTTGGAAATATATTGGCTGTTCCTTCAGTGTCACTGGGTCACGGGCCTGGAATTTTGCCCCTAAGGGCTTAGTGGGTCAGCCCACAGCAGGTGGCTCACCACCACCTTCTCAAGGGGCAAGTAGGGATGAAAAATAAATGTCTGGCTGGCCGGCCGGCCAGCAATGCCCGTGTGCCACAAATGAATTTTTAAAAAAGTGTCAATCTCTGAGGCCCCTTTTACAAAGTGTCAGACTCTGAGGCATTTGGTGCGCTTGCCTTTTATTGGTCAGACCTTTTGAGCATTGGAGTTGAGAGATCATGTTGCAGCTCTACAGGACATTGGTTAGGCTGCTTTTGGAATACAGCATTCAGTTGTGGTCTCCTTCCTACAGGAAGGATGTTGTGAAACTTGAAAGGGTTCAGAAAAGCTTGATGATGTTGCTGGGTTTGGAGGGTTTGAACTACAGTGAGAGGTTGAATAGACTGGGGGCTATTTTGCCTAGAGTGCTGGAGGCTGAGGGGTGACCTTTACAGAAGATAATGGAGTGGCATAGAGGCACAGTGGTTATCAGCTCCAAGGGCACGGTTCAGTTCCACCCTTGGGTAACTGTCTTTGTGGAGTTTGCAAGTTCTCCCTGTGTCTGTGTGGGTCCCTGCTGGCTGCTCTGGTTTCCTCCCATGGTCCGAAGATGTGCAGGTTAGGGTGACTTGGTCATTGCTAAATTACCCATAGTGTCCAGAGATGTGCAGGTTTGGTGGGTTAGCCATGGGGAAATGGAGTGTTAGAGGGATTGGGTAGGGGATTGGGTCGCTCTTCAGAGAGTTGGTGTGGACTTGATGGGCCAAATGGCCTGTTTCCACATTGTAGAGATTCAATGATCCTAGTAAATCGTGAGAGGCGTGGATAAGGTGAATAGTCAAGGCCTTTTCCCCAGGGTAGGGGAGTCTAAAACTAGAGGGCATAGGTTTAAGATGAGATTTAGAAGAAACCTAAAGGACAGATATTTCACATAGGGTGTGGCGTGTATGCCAGACATAGTGGCAGAGGGTGGTACAGTTGCAACTGCATCTGGGTATATGAATAGGAAGTGTTTGGAAGGATGTTGGCCAAATGCTGGCAAATGACACTAGATTAATTGAGGATACCTGATCAGTGTGGATAAGTTGGGCTGAAGGGTCTGTTTCCATGCTGTGGAATGCTGATTCCAAGAGTGATCTAGGCTCGAAAGGTTAGCTTGCTCTCTCTCCGTGGGTGCTGCCTGACCAGCATTTTTTTATTGTTTTTCACCCAGGGTTTGTTTGGTGCCTGCAATGTTGGCAATTCAAACTCCCTGCAAGGCTAGGGTTTATTTATATTGCAAAGTAACAAAGACCAAAAGAACTGCAGATGCTGTAAATCAGAAAGAAAAACAGAAATTGCTGGAAAACCTCAGCAGGTCTGACAGCATCTGGAGAGAGAAATCGGAGTTATATTCTGAGGAAGGGTCACTCGACCCAAAACACGAACTCTGGTCTCTCTCCATTGGTGCTGACCTGCTGAGCTTTTCCAGCAATTTGTTTTTGTTTTTATTGTCCTGAATTGTGTTTTGTGGGCAGCATTGCAGCACAAACACAGGCTGTTCTGCCAACACTGTTCATACTGTTTCTGGTGCTCCACACTAGCCTCCTGTCTCTCTTTTCAGAATGTCTTCCATTCTGTTCTTTCTTGGGGTCTTTTTTTTATTATTTCAAAAAAATACTTTTCATAATTCTCAGCGCATTGTCACAAATGCAGTTTGGTTCTGTACAGTAACATCAAGTAAACAAACATATTTGTTTGACTCTATCCCAACAAACCAAAGGCATTTCTTACTGAGACAAGACTATATTTACATGCATTGAGGTACTGGGAGTGTCCAATAACTGAATGGAATCCCCAATTAACTTCAGTGGGAAGACCTCAGACAGTGGTCTTTCCCATTGTGCTTTGGCAGAAACTGCCTCAAGCTTTAGTGTGCCCCTCAGCATGTAGTCCTAGACCTCGGAATGTGTCAACTCCTCCTTGTTCTGGCAGACCAAAGAGTGCCCTTCACCGAGTTGATGGTCTTCCAGGCGCAGTCAGTGTTTGTCTCTGTGTGTGTCCTGGGGAACAGACTGCAGTGCACAGAGTCCCGTGTCATGGAGCTGCTCAGGACGAACCTTGACAAAAATCTTCTTGAGCTTATCTAATTCTGTCTTAAAAAGTCGATGGGCCTGATAGCAGTAGGTGTCTGGTTGGTGTAGCAACAGTTGTTAGGTATGAGACTCTCTCTTTTTGCTAGTTGCAGTAATAAAAAGACTTCACTAATGTTTAAAATTTGATCCTCATACTTTTCAGACTATGCTTTTGTACACATGGAGAAGGAGGAAGATGCAATGCAAGCGATTGCCAGTCTGGATAATCAGGAATTCAACGGGAACAAGCTCAGGGTGCAGCTCTCCCGGTCGACCTATGGAAAGTCTGGTGGGCAGCGGGATGTGTGCCAACGCTGTGGAAGGCAGGGTCACCAGGCCCGAGATTGCCACTCAGTGCGCTATAACCAGTACAGCCAGTACCAGTACCAGGCTCAATATTACCCCTCTTACTATCCATACTACGATTACGATTATGGCCACGGTTCCTATTACGACTATTATGAAGATTATCAGACCGCGGGTGCCGCCGCGGGTTATGCGCCACTTGAGTACGTGAGAGAGAGAAGCCCCAACCGCTTGGGCACATCCGTAGTAGGGGCCAACAACTGCACCCTATATGAGCGTACCCGCCTGTCACCACTCACCGTGCCAAAATATCAGACCGAGAAATACATAGACGATAGCATCAGCAGGTATGTATCTGCTCCAGACCAAACACCCGGGGAGTCAAAGGGGGACTGCAAAGCTTCTCAGTTGGGGGTTGATGGTGTTAGTGGTGGGGTGGGCAGTTCAGCCTAACCTACCGTTAATTTAACATGTCTCTCCATTTCCTCAGGGAATCACTAGCTGTCCCTTGAAGTTTCTTACATGGGCAGTGCCCTGGTTTTGGAGGGGTCATGTCAGCTCAGGCATCCTGCAGGCTCTGCAGTAAGTAACGCAGTTGCCTAGCACTGCCATGAAGCTATGTATGCAGTGTTGATGGGAGTGGAGGCCACTCTCTCTAATCATGGATGCTTTTGCCTTTTCTGGATTATATAATGGTGGAACCCTTCTGCGTGTCAGCTGTGCAGTTCAGGGGATTTTTGGGGAATAATGTGTGCCCTTCGTATCGAGCCATGCAAGCTACGGCGAGACAGCCAGCAGCTCTGGTGTGGCTTCTAGAATCTTTTGTGGCTGAGGTTGTGTCTGGAGAGAATGTTGTGAGCTGTGTTAAGGGCAGTGCCATTGTGAGATGAGTACACAAGCTGTGCTTTACCAGAGAACTAGAAGCTGCTGGACTGCATAAGGTTATAGCCCATGAAGTTAACACCCTGCTGGTCACGCTATGCAGTAAACCAAAAACATGTTGGCTCATTGGAGCTATCAGTTTGTCAAGTTGAGACTCCTTCATGCTGAAAACCATTCCCTGTCTCCAGGTCTTAGAGGAGTAAAACAGATTTGTTTATATGGTACCAAGGATAAAATATTTCGTCAGAACAGCAAAGCTGCTGGGATTATTCTCCATTGAGCAGATAACTTTAATGGGGTGGGATTTGATCAAGGTTTTGATAAGTGAGGTGAGACTTAATTGGAGATTTGGCATTGACATGAGTGGCAAAATGGCCTTCTCCTGGACTTTAAAAAGACAGCTGTGCGATAATTGAATCAAGACTGCTGAGTTACTTTTGGTGAATGGAATAGGTTTTTTGCAGTCTGACTGCACATCGTCACTCGGAGAACACCATTCAGTTGTATCAAAAGTATCCCTCTTATTTCACAACCTCAAATGAGATTTGGACAGAGCTGCTCATGTTCGTCATTCCAGGGATTTCTGATTTTCACATTCTTCAACACCACCACATTCCTGTTCCTCTGACAAAGCAATGACTATCTCCAACAAGAGATAATTTAACTGCTGCTCCTTGATACTCAATGCTGTTGCTGTCACTGAATCCCCTGCTATCAACGTCCTGGGGGTTACCATTGACTGGGAACTCAATTGGACTTGCCATATAAACACAGTGGCTACAAGAGCAGATCAGAGGCTAGGAATCCTGCAGCAAGTAACTTACCACCTGACACACCAAAGCCTGCCCACTGTCTACAAGGCATAAGTCAAGAGTGTGAGGGAATATTCCCTACTTGCCTGGATGAGTGCAGCTTCAACAACGCTCAAGAAGCTTGACACCATCCAGGACAAAAGCAGCCTTGCTTGATTGACACCACGTCCACAATCTTGAGTGAACCATAATGCTATTGAACATCAGTCTCATGGGAAATTACATTTTTTTTTTAAAACCTTCCACTTGCCCTGACTGTAGAAGTGTTTACAACTGCAAGATACTG